AGCTCGAGATGAGTTTGGGTGTAGTGTGGCAGTAGTGTATTTTTCTGATTTCATTCCGAGGTGGTTTGAGCTGTTTGAGTTTGAGTGTCCTGGTTTTGACTGGTTTCAAATTTACCTGGGTCTACTGTACATGTTACTGGGCTGTTCGTGGATGACTGTTTGTTGTTGCTGTGTTATCTATTGCTGCTGACTATTCCTTTCCTTCTTATTCGTATTTCAACTTCCAGGTACACAGCTGTAACTTTGGCATTTGTAAGCTGAAAACATGAAATTTGAATATACGTGAAGAGTTGAAATTTTGCTTTGGTTTCTATATGGCTTGTGTATTTAAATTCTTCAGTCACTGATGATAGGTAGATCCCTGTTAGTATGTAGCAAGTGGACTGAAATGGAGTTGTATGAGAGATTTTTTTTAAATATAGTTCATACTAAAACATGTTAGCATCCGGTAACTGATTCCTGTAGTTAAAAAGGAGCTTGTTAGACTGTTAAATTAATCTGGACTGTGACTATTAGATTACTGGATCGTCGGATTATGTTCGACTAGTTCTGAATATCAGTTTTTATGCCAATTGCTAATTCAGGAAAGTACTACATCAATTGAAAGGAAAGGAAAGTGTAAAATGTAAATAGTATTGGAATTTGGTTAAAGCATTGACTGTAGGCATTAGCTATAGTTAGTTTAGTGTGTTTGTTCAGTTTAAACACTTAAAGCTAGAAAATAACTGGAGTTAGCATTCTATTTTGGAACCTGTGATATTGTGCTTGCATTAATGGCCGTTGTTCAAATTGGTAATAGCAGTCATGTAAATGTCGAACTAGATGTTAGTATGGCAGTGGCATAAGACGTTGGCTGATCTGTTAGTTAAAAACAAAGTTGGAGTGTCAATTGCATGTTTTGGAAATACAAAATCATTTTGCGAGTTGCTTGCCTGCTTTCAGTGCATTATTAATTCGTTTTAATTACAATAGGTAATGAATTAGTGAATTGGTATTAAACTAGTGGCTTAGAAACTTCATTCAGGATCGTTTAAGTTAATATGAGCAGTCTGGGCTATACCGTTACCCAATTGTATGGATCATTCAAATTTGGTAACAAGCCCACCTCCTTTTAGGCCACTAATATGCTTGCTAGCCCGATGCTTTGATCAAAGGCCCCAAAATTGGGCATGTTTTTTAACACGCAGGTTTTTAAATATAGTAGTTCATAAATTAACTAAGTTTTTTTATTATTTAGAGACAATAAAACTAAATAGAAAATCGTAGTTTACTTTAGGTTTTCCTTTAATAATAAAACGAGACGAGCCTCGCCAAATAAAAAATACAAAGATCGCGGGGCCCTCGTTAAATGTATATATTAAAATACTTAGATTTCGGGACGGGTCGTTTAGCGAATTTCACGGTTTTCCCCAAAATAATAACGCGCTAGTCATTTTAAACGCGCTTCTAATATTTTAGTTTCTTAAACTCGGGTGCACATTTATGTGACCCAAATCCAAATCTCAACGGAGTCGAAATGTGTCAATAACCACGGGTGCATTGATGTGACGTGGTTCGAGATGTGTTTTCACGACGTTGCAATTCTCGTTAAAAATAATAATAATAAAAGCGGTAAAAAGTTAAAATTTGCACATAGGTTCAACATGTATTAAAATCAGATAAATAAGCCGAATATGACATTTGAGCGACCGTGCTAGAACCACGGAACTCGAAAATGCCTAACACCTTCTCTCGGGTTAACAGAATTCCTTATCCAAATTTCTGGTTTGCGGACCGTAATACAGAGTCATTTCTTTTCCTCGATTCGGGATTCAACCGGTGACTTGGGACACCATAAATCTCCCAAGTGGCGAGTCTGAATTAAATGAACAAATCCTGTTTCGATTGTCCTTTAAATGGAAAAACTCCTTTACGCCCTTGCGGGCGCAGGTAAAAAAGAGGTGTGACATTATAGACTCAAGATACTTGAACTCTGTCTCTCTTCAAAATGGCTTTTATATCAAGCTGCACTTCTACATTTGCTTCGCGAGTTACACCGCTAAACTTTCACTTCAGGTACTCTGTCATGGACGAATAAAAAGTCATGTTCCATATTTGCTGGTACGATACTTTTGACTCTGAAATTAATTTGGGGCAAAGTAGAGTATGCGTTGAAACAAATTACTTAGGCAGGAGTTTAAGTTATGTGTTCTACTAATGTATAAGATTTTTATACCGTCATGTCAATTTGATTCAAAATAATAGAAACCTCTTCATAGCAAGCAATAACATAGTATAGTAACTTCGAAAATAGAGTAATAAGTTGTTATGATCATTAAAATTATAAGCGACGAATATTTAAAACATGTTAGCCTCAATGGTGTTTTACTACTTACAATAAGAGGGAATAGCAGGCACGTCTCGGTCAACATGAGTGCTTTTATAGAAATAAAAATTGATCTGAGGATATTTCTGTCATTTCAAAGCTATTCAGTCGATCGCTCAGCTTAACACGTGTAGTTCCAGTTTTAACATGTGGCAGCACCTCTGGTTTCTCAGCTAAAAATCTCAACCGAACGTAGAGAACTAACGACATCTCCAGAAAAGTAACGCTCCAGAACATCTGTTCTCTCTCTCTCTCTTTGCTCTCAAGTTTGTACTGCAATGTGTTTTCTTCCGTCAATCGTATTTTCTGGTGGGTATCCCTTCTACCATCTCTTGATTCGTCTTTATCTGTATCTCTTGATTCATGTTTATCTATATTTGTCTTGAGAAATATTTGAGAAAATTCTTGAACGAATACCATTTCTATTGAAGTTCTCTAGGTGTTTGAGAAAATTCTTCAATGAATTACCCTAATTTCTTATGCATATTTCTGTTTTCTCTATTATTTATGTGTTTGAAAAAATACTTGAACAACCAAACTTATCAGTTGAGTTAGCAAGGACGAGGTGACCGCTTCAATTACTAACTATTTGCTATGTTTTTCTTCTCACTTCTACTATGTTTTTTGTTGGTCGTATATATCATCAAATACCTTTGTTTCTTTGTTCGATCTCTGACCTCTTCATTTGTTATCTTTGTTCTCTGTCAATTAATTTTCCAATTATTAGCTTATGCGCTTCTTGTTTTCTCAGTTGTGCGCTGAGGTTGTTTCAATTGCTTTCTGTCGGTTTATTTGGCGATAACTGGGGTATTTGGGGCTTTGACATATTTCTCAGATGCTGACGACCTGTATGTATTTGAGACGGATTCTTTTGCTATTTCCATAATGCATAGACTGTTTTGGCATATTTTTTTATAATTAATTTTTGCCTCTATAAACTATCAACTTGGTGGTTAAATAAAACTAGCTTTTCGATTTATTGACAGTAAAAAATCAACTTAAGATGACCTTAGAGATGCACTTTGCTGGGAATTATCTATAGTACAATCGGTAGGATGTTAACCTAGAAGCGTGTTAAAAGATTACATTTCCTCTGCGCTTGGGATAATTAGATTCAAAGAGCTATTTATATGAACTCACTATTAGATTGAAATAATTACTGATCCAATCAGTTCGGAATTGAGTAGTTGATTGCTTGATTTGTATTGAAGGTATGTCAAAGAGATGCTATAAAATCTGATGAGTTTTACTCCTCAAAATTTTACAATTGGCTGGACAATTTCCAGATCTTCTTTAACCTCTTCATCATTTTCTTGCAACTATTATGAATGTACTAATAATTGACATCATATATATTTGATAGAAACTAAGTGATCCTGTTTATAAAAAAATAGATCTTTCACTGTTGTTTTTGTTTGTTGATTCGATTCTACCTTTCTGAATTCATTTTTTCCTGTTAAAATAAAACTCCTTTTTATCGACCACTCCTTTCTTGTTTTATAGTTATACTTTTACCACAAATTTCCACGGCTACTTGTATTGTTTTCTGTTGTGTCTTACAGTTAAATAAGTCCTTCTCTGTTGCCTCGAAAAGTATAGCAGTGGTAGCATATATGACACTCCAAAAAGGTGCTTTTACTAGCAAATCAGGCAAAGGAATTGGACTAAGCACATGTTTTCTGTTGCAGTCATTTCCACTCTTCACCGTGCGTTCCTATGCCATTTCTTTTCTGAAATCATGTGGAGAAGAGTCTCCTAAATATGACACTTCCACTTTTGCAAATGAGCTAAGGGACATTGAGCAACTTGTGCTACTGATTATTTTTGTTTGCTCTTTTTCTACTTAGTTTAACATCTATTGCTATCCTTTCTGTTGGCATAACTTTAATGTTTACAGATTCAAATGCTTAGTCAATATTAGAAGAATTTGTAGCAAACACTTTGTACTTTCTCCTATTGTGGCAGTGTTATTTTGGCAATTGTGAAATTCAAGAGTTGAAGCTATTAAGGTAGATAAGGAATGTTGATTTAGATTATTTGAAGAATGCAAAGTTCAAGTTGAGCTTGTAGCTTGAGACAGGTTAAGGCTTTCATATGTTCTATAAAATATTTTTTTTGCTAATTTAACATTCAGTTATATTTAATATAGTCTTAAATGAGAATGTGATAGTAGTACTAAGTACTAAATGTGATTTTTTGTTGCCAGAAGTAGTTGTGTAATATTCTTTCTAGTCATAAGCAATTACATTTTTTTATGCTCATATTCAGTTTAAACTCATTTACCAACGTGATCAATTCAGTTTTACTCAGTATCTACCTTACTACTTTCTTCATCCTTAGTTTTTCTATTTTTACATCTGCGCTACTTACGTTGTTTTCAAAATAGAGTGTACACCTGGTTAGTCAATTTCTTCTTAGGCATAATGTTTTAACTACACATTAAAGTGATACTCTTCTAGATCTTAAGATATGCACATTTAGTGTTCCAGAGAGCTACTTTAAGGAGTTTTGTGCTTTAGATTCTGTTGATCATATGTAAAAGTCTTATGTACTTGGGCTATGTGAATCAGATGAGAGGATAAAGGCTACTTAGAGTGGTTCATTTGACTGTTGATTTTTATTTTATCTTTCTTAGTTTTTTTCATAACTAATATATAACATCTCTTATCTTTCACCTAAATGCAGTTGTTACAACTCTTACCAAAGAGGATATAATAAGGGATAAGGTATGTGTCTTTGTCAGCAAGGCATAGTGGTGTCATCAACTTTTCCATGTTGGTCTGGTAGATCTTTCCAACGGACTATATTTTCGATTCGGCATAGACTAATTGGCATGTGTATTGCTTGAAAAAAATATTTCTCTTTTTGGATCTATGGTATTTTCATTATATCTAAGATCATGCAAAAGAGCTTTCTGACAAATTTTTATCCTTGCAGTGCAATTGGACTACAGTATAGTCTCTTTGGTATTCATGGAATTATTTGACGCTTGACACAGGTTATTTGCTAAAACTATTTGGAGGTATTATACTAACCCTGCAGAACTCTTTTATATAACCTTTTGTCAATATGATTATTTTAGTGTTCAGCTATGTCTATAGTGCAAAATACTGTTGAGCTAATTATGAGACTTGCAACTAATGTGCTTCATGATCTACAAGTGTTTTCATCACAACTCGATTCCTAAATTATAGTTTATTTTATTATTTACTGAAATCCTGTTGTTATATGATTTCCGCATATTATGACATCTTGTTCATTAACAACCTTTCCTATGTGTTGGATTCACTTGCACTTAATGTTAAGTGACTGTGTTTTAGCCTGCAAAACAGTTGTCTCTGATATTTACATCAGATAGCCATATTATTCTTCTGTTCTTATCATTCTATAGTTGGAACAATAGAAGTTACTTGACTAATCCTTGTTTTCCTAATATCTGGTAATAATTGTAGGGTTCATTTACACACAATAGACAGTTGGACTGCCTAATGTCAGCGACGCCCAGGAAGATCAACAAACTATTCTGCTCCTCATGCTAACATAAAAAGGAGAAATAATAGTTCAGTCCTTTTCACAAGTAGAAAATTATATGTGGGCAACTTCACTTGATATGCAATTCATATTCCTTGGTATAAAATGTGTTTATGTAAGATAGTATTTTTTTACTTTTGAGAAGAGACAAAAAACCAGTAGTAACCTTACTAGTATTATGATTTATGTGAAAATGACATTCACTTGGTAGTCGTTCAAGTTAAATGCAGCCTTTTTTATTTCCAACCTCAATTTAATGGCATCCAACGTTAACAAAATCAAAGAGGATATATATGAGTCTTGTTTTGTCAGGAACGAATTGAAACTAGTACAGATATGAGGAAGGAAAAAATTCTATACACTGAAATGCAAAGATTTTATACTAATAGTGTAGATTTACATGTGATAGCAAGTTAGTAATTATTTTTATTAAGTTACCAATATAGATGCTTCTCTAGTAGAATATAGAAATTATTGCATCGAATTTAAGTTTTATATATTGATGGTACAAAAAATAAAAAATAAAAAATTAAGAGTCAAAATCTACTAGAAGTGAAGCACTAACAAAATGGTATTAAGCCACATGCAGAATATAGATTCCCAAATTTGTTTAGAAAAATCTAATTTGGATGAAGTTTGGGTTGAAGATGAAATTGTGTTTGGACACACGTTTTCAAAACATATTTTTCAAATTTATTTTGAAAAACATGTATATTATTAGCAAGCGTTTGGCCATAGATTCCAAATTTATTTTGAAAAATCTGATTTGAGTGAAGTTTGGTTTGAAGATGAAAATGTGTTTGGACATACGTTTTCAAAACATATTTCCCAACTTTATTTTGGAAAAACATGTATATAATTCCCAAGTTTTGAAGTTTGGGATTTGGGATTTTGCCAAAATGTGGACAAAATTTATGGCCAAACATGAGTTTTGAAAATAAATCCCAAATTTATTTTGGCAAAACTCATGGTCAAACGGGCCTTAGTGTTTGTAAAGATTTTGGTCCAAAAACTAACGAATTTGGGATTTTGCTAAAATATAGGGAAAATTTATGACCAAACATATGTTTGCCAAATAAAATCTAAATTTATTTTGTTAAAATCTATGGCCAAACGGGTTTTAAGTTAGTTGGTGGTTGTTGGCTTTGAATTTGGTGGGGGGTTGGAGTAGGGTTAGTACTTGGCAATATCAAAGTGAAAATGATGTTTTAACTTGATGACTTTGTGTCCGCTACATTTGCTATATAATAAACCTATTTCTACCTACCAAATCTGAATATACAAGATATTTTTTGGAATATATATATATATATATATATATATACAAAATGATGAGCAAAAAGAATCGTAATATTTCCTAGAATGATAGCTAAATATATACAAAATTGTTATAGTTTTAATTCAATCATTTCGTTAGAAGCAAAACAAGAAAAAAACAGCGAGTAAAGATTTATTTATATGAGACAAACTCATCAAATTAGATCAACAAAATCAAATGTATACTACAACAAATTTAAGTTATATGCACTTATAATTTAAAGATTTATTGCACTACTAATGTAGTTTAATCTATTATAATAAATTAGTTGTCATTTGTATCAAATTTGCCTGTTATTATCTTGTAAATATCTCGACCCAAATTTGTTTTCAATAGTGATGTCCGATAATTATGGTAGTATTTTATTTCAAACCATGTATTTTAAAACAAATGGGGGTCCCAAAAAATAGTACATTTTGAAATAAAATAAACATGTAAATATCTTCAGATTATTATGTACTAATATAAGCACTTGCATAATTGGCTTATGTAATGGTTATTTGATTTATTTCTCCCTTTACATGCACGTGAAAAAGGGAGGAAATCGACAAAGTTAATATCATCATTAATTATTAAATCACAATGGCTAATTAATGAATGGTTAATATTATTTCGAAATTAAAAAGGAACATATGGTTGTGTCCTCGTGTGCACGGCGGTATTCTTCAGCAGAAATATTATAAGTTTATTACATGAGCAATTTAAAATGTAACTTGGTAATTGTCCTTTTCTTTTCTGTGGGATTAAAGTATAATCTTCTTAATATTTGGTTTAATTTAACGTTAAGTTGAATAATGAACGTCTACGAGAAAGAGACTGCAGACGTAAACATAAAGAATATTCACATCATATTTCCCAATCATAAGCGCGGATGCATGATTTAAATTTTATGAGCTCAACTTAATTATTAGATTTTTAACATTAAACTCATTATATTTTTAAAATTATGTGTTTATATCTACTAAGATTCTTACCGGACTGACCAAAAGCAACTTGCTCTTATTTTTGTTGATGAGATTGATATAAATTAATATTTTGTAATCATAATAATTCATCTATTCCCCTACTTCATCACACAAAGAAAAAAGAAAAGAGTTTCATTTAAATGATTTTTTTTATTTTGACGAATGCTTTTTTTCCCCTCTCTAATTCCTCATTTTCTTCTTAAATTACTCCCTACTTATCCACTTTAAATTTTTCACGTCCCTTAATAAATAAGTAATTATAGTATATATTTTAAGATATAACCCCTAATAATGATAGTATTGTAAAAAGTCTTGATAAATAATTTTATAAATAAATAATTAATGATGAGGGTAAAACAATAAAAAAAATTATCTTTCTCTTGATTTGTTAAAATGAACGAGCAAAGTGAAGCTATATTTTTAATATAGTGGACAACAAAAAATGAATAGAGCGAACATTATTTACATGCTATCTTCCAAAAATAGGAATAGGAATAGGAATATATTATATAAATAAATATATTATATAAAGAAGAAAACGAGTGGACCGAACCGGAGTTAGTGGTGCGGTGGGACAAAGCCGCGTCGGTTCTATCAGATCCACCGACGGCCTTATATGCTAAATTCCTTAATACTCAACTGGCTCATCCAACGGTTCTCTCGATAACTTAGATTAATCCTAAGCCGTTGATTAAATTCCCTCACCTACCAAAAAAAATCCCAAAATGAATCTAGCCCTAATTATGAGAAAAGGGACACACTCAATTCTTCCTATATAATCTCCTCCTCCATTTCACTTCCTCCTCGCCCTTACACTACTTTCTACTGCCCCACCTAAGGTCAATCTCTCTCTTTCTCTGTATATATGTATCATTTATTGTGAATTTGTTGGTTCCGTTCGGCAAACTTAGTGATTTTGTATTTTTCTTAAGAAATTCTTTAATATGTATAAATTATTAAATTAAAATATAATAATTTAAAGGAGCTGAAATTTCAAACCGTAAATTGTAAATACTGGATCTGTCTTGGTATTGTTCAAGTATTGTAGTTGTTTTCAGTAGATCTGACTTTGTATGTGTTGAATTTAAGTCAAAGATGTAATTTTGATGACAAAACAGTGCTGTTTTAGCTCAAATTTTCCACACGTGTGTTTCATTTTTATGCAAAGGCCATGCTAATTTTTATGTGTGTGCTCTAATTTTATGAGAATGTCTGCTAATTATGGATTCAAGATTGCATTTTTTAAAATTCGCCCAAGTTCTTTTTTGTGAAAGTAGATCTCAATTATAGCTACCGTTTTGTGACAGTTTGAGTTAAAGATGCGATTTTGATGTCTCAATATGCTGCTTTAGCTCAATCTTTTCATCTCTTTGTGTCATTTCTTATGTAAAAGCCATGCTAATTTCACTGTGTTGCTCTAGTTTTATAGGATGTCTACTAGTTATGGCTTCAAGTTTACATTTTTTAACTCGACCCAGTTCATTTAAAAAAAGTAGATCTGAATTATATCATTCTTAGTGGGTTTTGGTTTGTTTTCTATATCTGCAATTTTCCTCCATTTTCTGCCAATTTAGTGGTGCTAATGTGAAATCTGTATTGTTAATATTTTAGGCCAATTAAGAACGAAGACGTATGTGTTGTGTGTCAGAAGACAGCATTTTTTTGTAGCTTTTTAGATATATGTATACTGATTTCGACGTAATTTTTGATCTTCTATATACATATATTGCTTGAGATGCTATATAACTTGAGTTCAAGAGTAGCTGCATGAGTATTAACGGGTTATATGTTGGGTTTTTTAGAAAGACTACTCTTTTCTTTTGCTTTTTATTGATACACCTTTATCTGTGCATGCTAAAGTACTCATAAGATGTAAAATTGAGTAATTTGTCTCAAACCATAAAGGTTACATTGTTGAAGCACCCTCATATTGTTCTTTGCTAATCTTACTTTAATGTCTGTCTCTTCATTCACATATAGAGTACTTCCATGGTCTTTTGCCATAGTTGCTGATGTCATTCAATTTGTCAATGCAGATTTAGAGCAATGGAGACTTTCTTGTTCACATCTGAATCAGTCAATGAGGGACATCCCGACAAGCTCTGTGACCAAGTCTCAGATGCAGTGCTTGATGCCTGTTTAGCTCAGGACCCTGAGAGCAAAGTTGCTTGCGAGACTTGCACCAAGACCAACTTGGTTATGGTCTTTGGTGAGATCACCACCAAGGCCACTATTGATTACGAGAAGATTGTACGTGACACTTGCCGGGAAATTGGATTTGTGTCTGCTGATGTGGGTTTGGATGCTGACAATTGCAAGGTCCTTGTCAACATTGAGCAGCAGAGCCCTGATATTGCTCAAGGTGTTCATGGTCATTTGACTAAGCGACCCGAGGAGATTGGTGCAGGTGACCAGGGTCACATGTTTGGCTATGCCACTGATGAGACGCCTGAGTTGATGCCTCTTAGCCATGTTCTTGCTACTAAACTCGGAGCTCGCCTTACTGAGGTTCGCAACAACGGTACCTGTGCTTGGCTTAGACCTGATGGTAAAACCCAAGTGACTGTTGAGTACCACAATGACAATGGTGCGATGGTTCCATTACGCGTTCACACTGTTTTAATCTCCACTCAACATGACGAGACTGTCACAAATGATGAAATTGCTCGTGATCTCAAAGAGCATGTCATCAAGCCTGTGATCCCTGAGAAGTATCTTGATGAGAAGACCATTTTCCACCTCAACCCTTCGGGCCGTTTTGTCATCGGTGGACCTCATGGTGATGCTGGTCTCACTGGCCGTAAGATCATCATCGACACTTACGGTGGGTGGGGTGCTCATGGAGGTGGTGCTTTCTCAGGGAAGGACCCTACCAAGGTTGACAGAAGTGGAGCCTATATTGTGAGGCAAGCGGCAAAGAGCATTGTTGCCAATGGTCTTGCTAGGAGATGCATTGTTCAGGTTTCATACGCCATTGGTGTGCCTGAACCTTTGTCTGTCTTTGTCGACACTTATGGAACTGGGAAAATCCCTGATAAGGAAATTCTCAACATTGTCAAGGAGAACTTTGATTTCAGGCCCGGGATGATCTCCATTAACCTCGATCTATTGAGGGGTGGCAACGGCCGATTCTTGAAGACTGCTGCTTATGGACATTTTGGCAGAGATGATCCTGACTTCACATGGGAAGTAGTCAAGCCTCTCAAGTGGGAAAAGCCACAAGCTTAATTGGAATATAATCGTGTTTCACGCCTTGAGTGGTTGTGCTTACTCTAGCTTGTTGGCTTTTGTTTCACTTTTTTCTTGTTCTTTTTTATTTTTATATCTTATTATTTTTTTATGTGGTTTTAGAAATATTGTTCCAAGTTTCTTGGGTAAAGTTTGAGGATAATGGAAAATCATGGATTGAGATGTTAAAGTCTTTGCTTTTGTTATGTTTTTATAGACAGGGTTGACCTTTTTGATAAAAAAAGATTTTTATCTGTAGAGGTCTTGGTTTTGCCACTAAGTTCTAAGCACTGAGTTCTATAATCACTTGCATTCCATGAGCCAACTCTGCTATTGAATTTGCAGAGTTTCTTCTAGAAACAACCTCTACCGGGATAAGGTCTCCTTGCACTTCTTTAGACTTCACTTGTGAGATTTTACTAGATTTATTGTTGTAGTACTAGAAACGTCCACGCATGGCTAAAGTTCAAGTGTCTGTCATGAGAGAATAATGGTTGTGCTTTGCAAGTTAGAAACAAAGGCCTCCAAATGGTCACACACAATCAAGTGAGCCAAATTTCAGTAGTACATACCGAGTAACTCTGCCAATAAAGTTACTAAATATCTATGTTGGTGGGGAATGTATGTACTCGACTAGATGAAATAATTAAGGTGTACATCGATATTAAGACTCAGATTTCAACATATGACATTTCTATTTACTATCCTTGCACCGAGTTTGTTCATGGGCATGTAGAAAGCCAATGACTTATTTTGGTATTTTCTTTAACAGATGACAAAATCAGATTTCAATTGGAACTCCACAAGCTCTCTTTATACATTATCTCCCTCTATTTTTTGCTTTGCCATAGTCCATCTGCAAATATCTGGTAGTGAGACACCAGAAGGTTTCTTGACCTCTGTTAATTCTTCTAACAGAGAAATGACATGTCATTTTGTACGATCCTTGCGGAGAAATGAGAATCTAAGTACCAGAAGAACCAGTGGATGGCAAATTTTATGCTACAGAAACTGCCACTGTATTCCCCGAACTGTACTTTTGTTTTTATAGGAAGGTCTGGAGGTCAAGCATTAAGGTTGTAGGCTAGGTGGTAGTAAAGCTTTCCCTACTTCATATCCGGGGTGCGGCGGGGTTGGATAGGGTTGATCTTAGATGGCTTGCGGTTTATGTTGAGTCCACACTATCCTTTCTGTTTATCTTAGCCTCGGGCCTTAGATACTGGTTACTGTTATTGCATGTCATTTATCTTTTGATTTTTATGCTTCTCTTACTATTTCTACGGTTTCTGTTAAAGTTACTAATGAATTGTCTTTTCTTATTTTATTTCTGTCTTCCTGAGCCGAGGGTCTATCGGAAATAGCTTCTATGCCCATCGAGGTAGGGGTAAGGTCTGCGTACTCATTACCCACCCTAGACCCTACTTTGTGTTGTTGTACTTTTGTTTTTATTTGCTTGTAGCTTTCTCTATGTTGAGGATTTTGTGTGGAGGCTTAGACATGCAAATCCACCAAATACGTGCATTACCAAAATAACTAGATGTTTCCCAAATAAAAGAAAAGTGAAGAGGGTAACTAGCACTATGAATCCATCATATAACAACAACCACCACCACCACCACCCAGTGCATTCCCACAAGTGTGGTATGGAGAGGGTAGGATATACGCAACCTTTACATCTACTGTAGAAGGGCAGAAAGGCTGTTTCCGATAATCCTTCATATAACAAAAATAGGAAAATGCTGAATTGGTATTTGAACGATAAAAAGCAACAACCAAAAAGTACAGAACAGCACAACCAGCTTGGAGCTTCAAATGCAGCATTCTTGACATAATAAAGAGCTAGCTTGGAAAACAAGACTACTGATACTAAGTCAGAGAACAAACATGGCAAATACCACATGACACTATATTGAGGTTACGCTGATACGGTAACAGTTTTCCATTCATGGCTTAGGTTCCAACTCTTCGTAAACTAACTGACAAGGCGACAGCTGAGTAATTTTATCACTCTACAGCTCAGTAGAAAACCACTAATGATGTAGCTTTGGCGCTCTAATGCATTGTCAAATTAAATTGCATATTCAGTTTTCAAGTAGGCATTAACTCTTGCTTCTCGTCACCACTAACACTGTCATTGAACTTTGAGGCAGACATCATCTGCTTTTCTTGCTCCAAATCATAGATTTTGTCTGTCATACCTTCCTTCCTATATGCATCAACCATAACAGAGTAAGTTGTGTCATCTGGTCGGCACTGCTTATCTTTCATTCGCTTGAAAACTCTCTCCATCTCCACTAAGTCCTCTGCCTTTGCACAAGCATAAATAACAGAATTGAAAAAAGAAGTGTTTTCAGGGATCTCCAACTTCCCTGCTAATTGGACAGTGTTGATCACCTTAGGAAAAAGGTCTGCATTTGCATATCCTCTAATGAGACAGCAAAATGTCTTGGTGTCGGCTCTCACGCCTTCAGTACGCATTTGATCAAATGTGTACTCCATATGCTTTGCATCACCTATATCTGAAAACGCCTCGATGACATTGTTGTAAGTTGATGTTGTCCATGGAAATGAGAGTTTACGCATGTACTCCATCACCGATGACATCTTATCATACATCCTTTTCTTCCCATAAGCACCAATAAGGATATTAAATGTTCGCGTCTCTGGATCAATACCAAAACTACGAAATTTTTCATACCATTTTTCCATCATTTCAATCTGCCCCTTGTTGCCAAATAAGCTCAGAATAGTGTTCATTGTCCATATATCAGGTCTGCTGCTCATGCTCTCAAGCATTCCTGAAAGCACTTTCTCCATTTCTTCATATTTCCCTGCCCTCCCGTAACCACTCAAGACTATATTTTGAGTGACGGTGTTAGGAACTACGGAACGTTCAGCCATTTGTTCATAAAGAGACTCAACCAGATCAAATCGGGATGCATCCACACATGCCTTAATTAATATACTGTATGTATAAACATCTGGCTGACAATGAGGGAGCTCGATCATCCGGTGAAGAATAGTAAATGCCTTGTCAATTATGTTGCTTCTACAGTAAGCACCAACCAAGGCTGTATAGAATTCTGTAGTGGGTTCCAATCCCTCTTCAATCATTGTGTCAAAAAGTTGCTGTGCTTGCCCTGGCTGCCCGCATTTCCCAAGAAGAACAAGAAGCTTCATGTACGTACTTTCTTTCAATTGATAAAAGGGTTGTTCCTTTAACATTTTAAATACCTAGACGCAAAAAAGCAACTATATTGAAACATCCAATTGGCAAAACACCAGCAATAGAAGTACCAAAGAGTTACAATGCAAGAGATGTTGGAATTCAAGCCTAAAAATCAATGAGGTGCAATAAATTTACCTCGAAAAGAAAAAGAAAACAGGTACCCTTCCATTTACCTCTGCGCTTTTCGCGGATACGGGGTGCGAGGAGAACTCATGTGTGCAAAAAATGCAAGGTAAATACTTTGAAAACTCAGAAAAGTGATACTTTCCTGGTTTAATTTATTTGATAGTGAAAATTCTCCAAACAAAGAGCTTAAGGTACTCAGGGTGGTCCTAAATGAAGCGATTACTCCAGTTTTGGAAAGTATATAGGCTGGAAAGCATCTCATTATTCACGGATAAGTTATTAGATAAAAGAAAAATAAGATATCCATTAATGTTCCACACAGAAAATGGTTCTGAATTTCGCCAAGGTGGATGCAGAAGGTAATGAGAAAACTGGATATTTGCTAAAATTAGGAGCTTAGGGAAGTCTTTTCTTGGCTATGTTAAGACGGCAGACTACAGATAGAACTCATAATAATAANTAAATTAGATAACTTTCTAAAATTAAAAATGTTAATCCCATTTAGCTGGCTCAGTAAAAGATGAAATCCCGTAAATGGAAGTCTTCAAAGAATAATAAGAATAACTTATAAAAATTATTGTTAATTTTTTTTTCTAGTATAGATATAAACAAGTAAAAAAAAGTACTTTTATTACGATACTTTTTTAATAAGACAAATTGATAAATGGCATTATAAACTTTAAAAATGACTAATATTTAGTTAATAATTTACAACAAACAACATAATATATAATAATAATAATAATAATAATAATAATAATAATAATAATAATAATAATAATAATAATAATAATAATAATAATAATATAGGGGCATGACTGGAAGCTAGATGTAGCTAGAATGAAGCTAGGTAACTGCATTAAGCAATGGAGAGGATAACAAGATCAAATGCATTATGTTTTGAAGATATTATAGGTCTTTTAAGAAAACTTCCGACCTTCTTAATTCAGGTCTACACGATGAGACTGGCCATCAGCCCACAATTGGGTGCCACCCGCCGTGAGTAGTGGTGGTTTGACTAGTTTGTCCGATGGCTGTAGTTGGTCATTAATTGAGTGTGCGGAAAATGCTGGTCGTTACTGAAATTGGGCCACTTCAGCTTTTGGACCAACTCCACTAACGGGCTCTGATGCGCTCAAACAAAGACAACCCCGCAACCACACAAGCAAGAACTCCACTCCGCTCAGAGATGCCCAATCTCACAAATCTATAAACCAGGGCCGGAACTTTCATAGCCATTTTTCCATTTTAGCATCAATAATCATGTAATATTGCACCTATAAACTGGTTTTAGCTTACTTTATTTCTCAATTAAAAGAATAAAAAAAAGTATCTTTACGATAAATTGACTAGTAACATGTCTTCAAAAATCAAATATACACAATCAANGGGGAAGATATACACAAAATTTAACAAGGATATAGAAAAAAGTAAAATCAAGAAATGAAAGGGATAGTAGCAAGAACTAACCTGAAGCGCTTGAAGCCATTGTTTTTTATCAATATGATCAGAGAGAGCTTCAGTAACAGTATTAACCCAAGCTGTAGCATTATTTTTTCTGTCCAATTTTTTCTTAATATTCTTAATAGGTGTTCTTTTCTTGTTATGGGACCCAGTTTGTTCAGTAAAACCAGGATATTCACCTTGTTTCCAGTGCTTTTTCTTTGGAAATGCCACTGAAAAAGAAGTGGCGCCGGCGGCGGTGATAGTGAGTGGCTGCCGGAAGTGGAAGAGACGGCGAAGGTTACCGCCGGCGGGAGGAAGTAGAGCTGAGGAAAAGAGAGAAGATGAGGAAGATAAAGAAAAGGAATTGGTTGTCATTTTTTTGTCTATTGTCATTTGTGCCTGGGCCTAAACTGCCCTTTTAATAGTGACAAGTAAATAGTGCGATAAATTTAAAAATAGCGAGATTTATCACTGGTCGTTGAAAAATAGCCAAGTTTCAAAAGTTATCGAAATTTAGCCACTTTAAATCTGAGCGAAAATACTGTTCAAAATCCGGAAAAATACACCCGTAAATTTTACGGGAGTTCCAACATAAGTATGCTTACGGGAGTTCCAGGATAACTATGCTGGAATTCCCGCAAATTTTACGGGAGTTCAAGCATAATTATGCTGGAACTCCCGCAAATTTTACTGGAATTCCAGCAAGTATAATTGTCCAGTATAATATACTGGAGTTTGGAGCACTGGTGCTCCAGTCTCCCGCAAATTTTACGGGAGTTCAAGCATAATTATGCTGGAACTCCCGCAAATTTTACTGGAATTCCAGCAAGTATAATTGTCCAGTATAATATACTGGAGTTTGGAGCACTGGTGCTCCAGTCTCCCGCAAATTTTACAGGAGTTAGCAAAGTGTACCGGTCCAGCATAATATGCTGGAGTTCGTACACAAATGCACCAGAACTCCCGTATATTATACTGGACCGGTCCCTATTGCAGCAAAATAGTGGCTATTTTTCATTGACCAGTGTAAAAACTGGCTATACCATGATATTTTAACGTAAATAATAGTCCCTCCATCTTAATTTATGTGACATAATTTAAATTAATACAAAATTTAAAATAATAAGAACTTAGGATTTTATGATTTTGGGCATCATAGTAGCTTTTTGTTAATGGTAAAGAAGTTAAAATTATAAAAATATGTCAATCTTTTTAGAGCGGATTAATAAGTAAATAATATAACGTAAATTAAAACAGAAAAAGTATAGGATATTGAGAAAAAAAATTTCGGGACCAAGGGCCTTTTTTTTTCTTTTTTTTTGGGGGGGAGGGGGGAAGGGAATTTGGTGCTCATTTGTATTAATATAGAATTGCATTTGTAAATAAAACATAGAAAATTCTTGTAAAGTCATTTTATTCTATTCAAATTGTAAGCGGATATAAAATATCATTTCCTCCCTAATTTCACCTATTTGTCTAAACTCTTAAGTAATTCTGACACTAAATTTAAATAATTATACCTACCTTAAAATACATAACTAATACACCTGGTACTTGAACTCTTAACCAACTTTCAGTTAAGATATTTTACCACGTGGCATTCTAATACTGGATTGTTTGTCTTCACCCGTTGATGTAGGTCGTCACATGATGAATCGTGTTAATATCTTGTATCTCCTTTGTTTTTCGACAGAATCCGTCTTAGATTTGCCGGTGCTTCAGATCGGCCATTTTCTGTATACGATTAGTTAACATAATACCCTTTCATGACTCCTCCTCGTTTAAGAGACTCGTAATTCGGATTATACTCGTTAAGTACCCATTCTTTATCCTTTGAACTGTATAGATATGTAAAATTCTCATCAAACATCCATTGACAAGGTTCTGGATCTGTAACACATTGATAATCTGATCGAAATGCCACAAAAGTTCCCATATTTGTGGAGCAATTGAACATTGTAGCAGTAGGAAAAACTCTTCTAATATTTACTTTGAAACTGAATTCTTGATTTGACATCAAATGATTTAATGGAAAACTGTCATCAAAAGAAAAACATCGAATGGTAAGGTAATTTGTGTGGTTGTTTTTTACCACCACCAATTTTTCATTTGGAAGTCTACTTGTGGCTTCAATATTTGAGAAAATATTGATGCAAAAAAATATGAATATTGTAACGGTGACGGTTTTCATGATGTAAATGTTCGGTGCAGATAAATTTTTATCGTTCTTTTTCTGGGTTCTTGTCTCTTTTCTTGAATTTCCTTCCTGAAATATAATAATATAAAAAGAAATTTAGAAAAAGAAAAAAATGCATAGTCAATTTATTAGTATTTTTTGATTATTTGTGATATAAGAAAGTCAAGAAAAAAATCTAAAAATTTTTATGTCAAAAGGAGGATAGGAATTATAATTGCAGAAGTTCATTGAAGAATGATGCAAAAATATCATTTCATATATGATTCAAAAGGGATTTAAGTGAATTTACTTTATCGAAAAAATTATACTATGAAAAAGTTTTTAGAATATCGGTAAAATTTATTCAAACATCTTACTCGGTTACTGAATTTGAATTCCAGGTTTAATAATTGTTTCATTTGTCGAAATTCTTTTATTAAAATTTCTAATTCCGTCACTGATAATCAGTCCCTTGTAGAAATGTAAGGAAGATTTATCAAGATTTAATCAAATTGCATTTGAAGGCTAATTCATTGCATGTATAATAAGAAAATATTTACCTTTATTTCTTTGCTGTAATGGAAGGAAAATTCTATTCTGATTTAATTCCTTCAAAGCTGAATTTTCTTAAGGGTTTTTTAAGTGAGAAACTTAATTTCTTGTTTTTTTTTGGATGATTAAACATTTCGATTATTGAAGCTATTTATAGATTTGACAATAGGGACAAGAATTCTTTTGTGCATATTCGAATCTTTTAGTACTATTTTTATGTTTTTACTATTTTTAAGCCTTTGAGAGAGTTTAAATTTTCCAATTTAGATATTTACATAATTACAACTTTCTATATTTGCGCATAAGGAATAATTACGTAACTCGCGAGTTTCCAAAAGAGGTGTTTAATTGTTGGAAATTTTGTAGAAATGCCCCCTTTGTAGAGTCCGGAACTGAAATAACGCAAAACAATTATTTTTGTCACGGAAATTAAAGAGTCTAAAATGAGAATTTGTTTTTTGCGAGGCAAAAACTGAAATAATACAATTATTCTTAAGTTTTCCACAAACAAACGCCTATGTATTACTGAAATAACGCAAAAAGTACGATAGCCAAAAAGTATATAAAATTTGTATATTTTTTGTATATAACTTACAGAATATATATATATATATATATATAAAATATAAAATTTTATATATTTTTTCGACTATTATTTTACATGAGCTATACAATGTTATTTTTCCAAAATTATTTTTGTGACAAAATACACATAACACATGTATTTCGTGCACTATAATTAACGTGTAAAGACCAAATTTCAATAATTTATTTATATCCTTGATGTGAGAAAATTATGTTGTATTTGTCCTTGAGCTTCAATTTAAAATGAGTGAACTTAATATGTTCAAATTACACGAAAAAAGGTCCTTATTTTATCCGTCAATCTTTAACTTTGGTCTAAAGTTACTTACAAGTTTGAGCTCCGTTTGAGGTCAAGAAAAAAGAAGAAGATATTTTCCTAACAAGGGTAAAATTCGACAAAAAATGTAACCAAAAATAAAGTTATTTAATTTCTATTAATACATGGTTTGTCAAATATAATTATATTAAAGAAAACGGAAAGGCCTAAGCCTAACAGCTTGTTTGGACGGTTGTTACTTATTGTATTGTATCAAATTGTTACTTTAAATACGATGTTTGTTTTGGTTGTTACTTAAATTTTATTATATCGTATCGTTAAATCCGTCGTTACGTAATGACGAAATATGTCACTTTATGTAACGATTGATTTGGTGAGGTTGCATCGTTATCTTGTCTTTTTCTCTCATCTCACCCTTCCTTATTATTAAATAATTTTATTTTATCATTTACCCTACCTTTTTATATTATCAATTTACCCCATATTATAATTTTTCTTTATAATATTGTAAGTTTATTCTTCATATTGCTACTGTGTGATATCATGAAACAACAACAAATGATACAATCCATCCAAACATTATATTCATCACACGATACAGTATGTTATAATAATATTATGAAACGATGTGTAACAACTAGGGGTGTACATGGACCGGGTTGATTCGATTTTTATCAAAACCAAACCAAACCAATTATATCGGTTTGGATTGGTTCAGTTTTGTCGGGTTTTCGGTTTTTTTTTTTGTTACATGTATATTATTTCAATCTTACTTTTTTAAAATTATAGATAAAGTTTTGATAAGTGAATATATGTTTAGTAAATATAGAAAAAATTGACAAACATATGATCTATTAAAATATTCTAATGAGAGTATTTTTTTAAGAACACATGATAGTTATTTTCTTAGTCGTCTAACAATAATTTTTCGTTAATTTACGCTTTCAAGGTTAATACATGAGAGGATTCCAAATATTTCTATATTTTCTAAAGAAAAATTACTATAAAGTCTTTAAAATATAAATAAAATCTATATATTTATATGTCGGTTTGGTTCGAGTTTTTTACTCAATACCAAATCAAGTCAAACCAAACCTAATCGGATTTTTTAATCGATTTGGTTTGGTTTTCCGGTTTGGTGCGATTTTCCGATTCGATATATATTTATATGTCGGTTTGGTTCGAGTTTTTTACTCAATACCAAATCAAGTCAAACCAAACCAAATCGGATTTTTTAATCGATTTGATTTGGTTTTCCGGTTTGGTGCGATTTTCCGATTCGATTCAAACAGCCGTTGTTACAACCATCCAAAGAAGCTGTAAATGGAGTTACCAAAAAAAGAATGTGTTAATTCCATTCCATTTACAGCAAAAACAGTGTGTGTGTGTGCGCAAAGTACAAACACTTTTTATCTTATGTGTCAGTGCATGTGTAAATAAAAAAGAAGAGCCCAAGTCAAGGGTGGATGACAGAGACGCACCAACTAGCCAACATTATTCTTTTCCACACTGTTTATTCTTTTACTATACTACTAATAATAATAATTTTAAAAAAAAATAATTTATAATATTTGTGTATTACTTGTAGTACTTTTCTCTTATAGCGTGTTACATTGTGTTTTGATTACTCTCTTCTTCCTTTATTGCTCTCTCAGTTCACACATTTTCACAACATTAATTTCCAAGAACGTTACATCTGTTGCAGAATATTGTAAGAACTTCTAATTTCTGCTCTTTTTTGCGGATTTTCTAAAATTCTGTAGGTATATAAATCTTGGGTTTCTTTCAATTTTTGTTTATTTTTTGAAAAAAAAAGGGGGCGACCTATTTTAAAAGATTGTTTTTTTCTTCAATTTTTGTTCAAGACTCTTTGAATTTGTTAAAAAATGAGGGTTTTTTAAGTTGGTTGTATTTTTGCAGAATTTTGTTGAAAAGAAGTATGAGCTGCTTTAGTTGTTGTGAGGAGGATGAAATGCACAGAGCTGCTGATAATGGGCCATTCATGTCACACAATTCAGCTGGTTAGTTTCCTCCATGTACTTTGTTTCCATTTCCATTATATTTTTTCTGTGGAAATTTGCTCAAATAGAGCTGAATGAATATAAGATGATTTATATAGCTGACCAAATTAGTTAGGATTGTGCATAGTAGTAGTAGTTATTGTTGTAGCAATAGCCCCTCTAAGACTTAGCTGACCTTGGCTTAGAGATTGTTGCATAGTAGTAGTAGTAGTAGTAGTAGTTGTAGCAATATATCGCCTTAACTAAATTAGTTTAGGACTGAGGCTAGTAGTAGTAATTGTCATAGCAATATCCCCTCTAAGCCTTAGCTGATCTTAGCTTAGAGATTGTTGCACAGTAGTAGTAGTTGTTGTAGCAATATCGCCTTAACTAAATTAGTTTAGGACCGAGGCTAGTAGTAGTAATTGTCATAGCAATATCCCCTCTAAGCCTTAGATGACCAAATTTGCTTAGGATTGTGGCGTAGTAGTAGTAGTAGTTGTTGTTGTTGTAGCAGTATCCCCTCTAAGCCATAGCTGTCCTTAGCTTAGAGATTGTTGCATAGTAGTAGTTGGTGTTGTAGCGATATCGCCTTAGCTGACTAAATTAGTTTAGGATTGAGGCTAGTAGTAGTAATTGTCATAGCAATATTCCCTCTAAGCCTTAGCTGACCAAATTAGCTTAGAGACTGTTGCATAGTAGTAGTAGTAGTTGTAGCGATATAACCTTAGCTGTCTAAGTTAGTTCACGATTGAGGCATAGTAGTAATTTTGTTGTAGCAATATCCCCTCTAAGCCTTACCTGACCTTAGCTTAAAGTTGATGCATAGTAATAGTTGCTATTATAGCAATATCGAGCGAGCTGACTAAATTCGTTTAGTATTGAGGCATAGTAGTAGTAGTTGTTCTAGTAATATCCCTTCTAAGCCTAGGAGTTCTTGGAGGAATTACCCTCTCACATTAGAGGTTTCAGATAAGGGAAAGGTTGGGGAAGTGGGGTTTGGTGTCGGGACTTCTAGGGATATGGTGTATGCTTATTTTGCTTAGTGAGAAATCCCCGAGGGCTAGACGCTAGGGTTGGGGTGAATACTTGAACATTGGGAATTTATTTTATTGTTGAAATTGGAAGAAACTGTTGAAACTCTTTACTTGGGTATCAATAAATTGGAAGCTCAAAGATTTAGTATGTTTGTATTTGATGCTTCGTGATCGCGTTCCAATTGAATCGTTGAGAATTGATAAATGATCATGTAAAATGTTCTAGCCTTTGGTTGATTGCTTGGGATTTTAGCTATTATTTTTGGCCCTTTTCTTCATCTAATATCCTGCTTTAATTCTATGAACTTTTTATTTCCATAGAATCCTAACTGGAGAATATTTCATAGGCAACAATGGAGGTCAGCGTGCCACAGAAAGTGCACAAAAAGAGATGCAGACTGTGAACATCCAGCCCATTGCTGTTCCTTCCATTGCTGTTGATGAGTTGAAGGACATCACCGATAACTTTGGTACGAAATCTTTGATAGGTGAGGGATCATATGGAAGGGTATACCATGGTGTCTTGAAAAGCGGCAGGGCTGCAGCCATTAAAAAGTTAGACTCGAGTAAGCAGCCTGATCGAGAATTTTTAGCTCAGGTTAGCTCCTCCGTATTATCTTTTATTTGACTATGTCAAATTGCACATACCTTGGTAACCTTGCCTAGAGATGACGCATGTAATTACAGGTCTCAATGGTCTCAAGACTAAAAGATGAAAATGTGGTTGAATTGCTCGGTTATTGTGTGGATGGCGGTCTTCGTGTGCTAGCCTATGAGTATGCCCCAAATGGATCTCTTCATGACATTCTTCACGGTAAGTTTGCTATAAACTCTATCGGGACCAAGTTTTAATCCTTACCTTCTCATTAGGGGTGGGCAACTTTGGGCAAACCCGAAATCCAAACCGAAATCCGAAGTTCTTGGATTTTTGGTTTGGATTTTCGGATTATGGATTGGATTTTGGATTTAATTTTTAAAATTTTTGGATTTCGGATTGGATATTGGATTTGGTACTTTGAATTTTTGGATATCCGAAAATCCAAAATTCTTATACTTTATATTTAGTCCATTATCCATATGTCAATAGTTATAAGTTCAATACCCTACATCATATATGTTCAATATTAATTACTAAGTTATTATGAGAATACTTTCTATTTGGACATGGTTTTACTATTTCTACTTCTTATCTGACGTATTAACGTCTCTATTGTATTTTTTATATAATAATTTTATTACTTTAATATTTCATTTGGATGACTGCGGTGAGAATGAAGAACTTTTCAGGCAATTTAACATGAGTACTTCATTTGGATATTCATTTTTGTAAAAAGAAGAAACATCTCAACTTATAAGCTCAAAACCGAAAATCCAAAATATCCAAACCGATTAATCCGAAACCGAACTTAAAAAATCCGATCCAATCCGAACTTATTTGGATTGGATTTGGATTGTCATTTCGTCAATCCGAAAACTGAAAATCCAAACCGAAATTTCATACGCAATCCGAACTGCCCGAACGCCCACCCCTACTTCTCATTAGTACTAAAACCTGTAGATTTATCCATAATTCTTTGTGCATTTGGTTCCTCAAGCCGAGATGAGTCAAATTTTTTGGCAAATCCCAAGAACTCGTCTCCGTAGCTTGTGTTTGGAATTTATTGCTATTCAATCCAACTATGTCTAAGTACATTTCAGACTCCACTTTAAGTACTTCATTAATGCGCCGTGCAGTAAAAGACCCCCTTATTAGTGGCCAATACATGCTTCATCCCAAATTCTAAAGTTCTTTTTTAAAGCATTCTCTGACATGTATAATGAAAGTTTTTTGTGAAGTTCCATATTTAAGAGTGTTTGGACCTACGATATCTTCAAAGGACCTTGCTTATTAAGAATCCATCAATTTTTCTTTATTCTTTTTGCTTTTTGTTGTATATAATTCTCTTTTAAAAATATACTCCATCTCAATTCCCATTAACCATGGTTTGGATAAACACTAAAATATAAGAAATTAGTTTTGAAGTTGTTGAAAATTGGTTTAAGAGAAGTATGGGTAGCCCTTTAAAATTTAATTGGTAAATTGGATTGATCAAAGTCCAACAGTTGTATAGAATATTTGTTTTCCATCTCAAAAAAGGAAAAGAAATAGTTGTATAGAATACTATGACTTGTAGGTTTGTGTTGAACATTTCTTCTGTATGTATGGCCAATCTGACAGAGAGAATTGGAACTTTCCGTTGATGTTTATTTTTCTGTGTGTGGCCAATCATGCTTCTTTTACAACCTTTTGTAACATATTTTGTTAATTTGCTGCAAAATGCATAATTTTTCAGTTTGTGATTGCAGGAAGAAAAGGTGTGAAGGGTGCGCAGCCAGGTCCAGTATTGTCATGGGCTCAACGAGTTAAAATTGCAGTTGGGGCTGCAAGAGGACTGGAGTACTTGCATGAAAAAGCGCAGCCTCATATCATTCATCGTGATATTAAATCTAGCAACATTTTGCTCTTTGATGATGATGTCGCTAAGATAGCGGATTTTGATTTATCAAATCAAGCCCCTGATATGGCAGCTCGTCTTCATTCCACACGTGTTCTAGGAACCTTTGGTTATCATGCACCGGAGTGAGTCCATTTCTGGTTGCATAATACAAATAATCAACAGGCTTGGTTAATTTATTATAAGTTGATCTTCCCCGTGACTAATCTAATATTGAACTGAAAGTATTATTCATTTTTATGCTGATGGAATTTCCAACGCCCGCGTTCACCCTCATCCCTGTGTTGCAGATATGCAATGACTGGTCAGTTGAGTTCAAAGAGTGATGTTTACAGCTTTGGTGTTGTGCTACTGGAACTACTTACTGGCCGTAAACCTGTAGATCATACATTGCCACGTGGGCAACAGAGTCTTGTAACTTGGGTATAGCCTTCTAGATTTTCACATGATTTATCTGATACAGTATTTTTCAGTGGAGTAGTTCATTTTGATTTTTTATTGATTTAAACACCACCGCAAACAGGCAACGCCAAGACTTAGTGAAGATAAAGTGAAGCAGTGTGTTGATGCTAGGCTAAATACAGAATACCCACCCAAGGCAGTCGCAAAGGTATGTGCGCTGAAACAAAAAATTCTTGCTTAATGAAAGTATGTATTCCTATCTTTGCGACCAAAGTATGTCAATTAGTAACCAAAGGAGCATCTGAATCAGCTTTAGATGAAACATTTCGTTATATTCTATGATTTCTGTTTGATTTTCATCATCTCCATTTTCTTACATCTCCAATGCTGAAACAGATGGCTGCAGTTGCTGCCTTGTGCGTGCAATATGAAGCTGATTTCCGCCCAAATATGAGCATTGTAGTAAAGGCTCTTCAGCCTCTGTTGCCTCGACCTGTACCAAGTTGAACATCAAGCTTGTGAATTTTCTCCATTCTCCAGCCTTTACATCATGATCACAATATTAGTGGTCGCCTAGGAAACTACTGCACATTAGTGTCATCCCCCCCCCCCCCCCTCCTTGTTCTGTTGATTGTATGCCAAAGAACTATTGTATATTTGCAGTAATGAAAAATGGCTTTGCATATTGATTTTCATGGGTTCTGTTGAGGTGTATCAAACCACCAGTTATAGGAGACAATCACTGGAAAAGGAAAGCTATAAACTGCAGATTGTATTTTAGCACTGATTTCATATGTATTACAGTTTGTCCTTATGGTGCCATCTTATCATTTCAATTTCTTGAGAAGATAATTACTGTCTATTTGTGTTTAGAGGATACTTATCATGCAACTTGCAATAGTGTCCCCCCCACAACACACAGATACCCCCCAAAGTTGCAGGAACATCTTGAGTTGATGCATTTGAAATGAATCATATTTTACCTTGACAAAATTAATCATACAAGAGGTAGTGTTGCCTAGTGGTAAATTGAGATGTGATAAAAACTATGGGAGACGAGAGTTTAAATCCCATCAGAGACAAAAAAAACAAGACGGGTGATTTCTTCCCGCCTATATAAAAGCTTTGGATGGCGAAATTATCCGGCAATTATGTTGGTGAAAGGTAATAGGTATTCAGTGACAGTTGAGGTACGCGCAATTTGACTAGATGTCCACCATTATAAAAGGACAGCCCGGTGCACAAGACATTCCGCGTTCACGTAGGGTCCGGATAAGGACCGCACCCCAAGGGGCATGATGTAGACAGCCTACCCTAATGCAAGCATTAGTGGTTGCTCCCTATAAGTCACACGGAGACAACTTTACCGTTGTTTCAAGGCTCCCCTTTGCGAGGTTAACCTTCAAAATATCCAAGCCGGATAAAAGAAAGAAAAAAGAAAATTAGTGTATCCACTCTCAGGTTATTGGTGTATATTGGGGTTGGCTAGTTGCAGTTGTCTTTTTTCCACACAAAAAATGCTACAACTTACAAACAAGTTTGACACAGCACTTCAATTGTATTGCAGAAACCATTGAACTTTTGCCATTGGCAAGAATAATGTAACAAAAATTTTGGATAGGACAAAAGCATGATGCATGTTAACTAGCTATACATAACCATGTATGTAAAGAAGGCAGAGTAAAAAAATGAGGAACTTATATATACTGACTGATTTTCATGCACATAAAAATGATTCTTTCAAACAATTACAAGTATGATAAGATATACCAAATTGAAAAAATTATGGATCCTTTATGTGCCACTCCTCTCATTTCAGAGACAGTAACTTTAAGTCATCAATCTGGCGATTGCCCCTGTGTGTTTATGTGTTTATTTATCGCTTCTACTCTTCATCGTCAAAATTGGTTTTTCACTGCTATCTGTGTTAGACTTCCGATTATGAGATTCTGTTTCTTCAGCACCTGTCTGGCTCTTTCTCCGTCTTCGACCCTAAAATACCAACAAATTTAGAGCATTGAAAAACTTAAATAACTCAGAAAATCTTCAGTTAGTATGTAACCTCTCGTGGTATTGGATATTCCTCAGATTCAAGCATTCGAACAACTTGACTCATTGTAGGCCTTTTATCAGAATCTGGATCGAGACATCTTAAAGTTGTTAACAGAGCTCGTTTAAGGGCAGTTGTGGAAGGCCTTGTCTCGATTGTTGGATCAACCACTTCTTCTGAGCGTTTGCTGCCAACCATCATCTTGAGCCAATCGACAAGATTTACCTGTACATCAAACAAACAGCATACCAGCACAACAATCATAATGTGGAAAATCAAGATGTGTTCACATGAAAGCATTTTTTGGACCATTTCTCAATTTGTTTCTCATCCCCTTGCGCACGTGACATGCTTTTCTCCCTTTGGTGAATCTACTTAAACTGAAATTTATTCCTAAGTCGCCATTAGACTTTTATCTTACTGTTAAATTATCTAGGTCAACCTAGCTAAATGCTTAAGCGGTCTGAAAGAATAGTTATTTCCTTAGTTAGGTCATTATTGTACATCCAAACATGCAAGCAAAATACTTGCTAGAAGGGCCAAAGACGTGGAGTCGCTCAACTAGCTCCAAAGTTCGTATTACCTTTTTTGGATAAGTTAAAGTTCAAATTACTAACTGTGGTTTCAAAAGGGCCTATAATATGTAGTTCCATTTATGAAATTAAAGCTTTTGATAGAGGTGAGATTTTTAATTCAAGTAGGTTTTCAATAAGAGAATAAAGTTCTGAAAAGATCATAAGAAGCAGAATTAAGAGAGCATAACTTACTGTAAAATGTGCAAGATCGACCGATAAGTTCATTCGATGCGCAATCTCGGCAGTCAACGTGTTTCTGAATAATCTCATTTTTCAATTTTCAGTTATTCTACCATTTCATTTTAACAAGTTCAATGTTAGCCATATTAGTCAACCATTCTCTTTGTGATGCAAAAACTAGATACTATTAGTAACAAGTGGTTTTGCTGGTTGGTTAAGTGGGATACTATATTTCCAAGATTGAACCTTAAATTCCAATAAACCTCATAATCGTCAGATAATGGGCTTTGAACTATGTGCCTGGTGAAAGAGAAAATTCGGAGAGGATTCTATAATTGTGGCTCAAAGCAATAAGCTCGCTGTAGACACTTCTTTACTAATAATAACATTGGGTGAGCATACCTCGGGAGCAGGGCGACCATAATCCACTGGATCTCTTCCGGTGATGGCTTCTAGAAGCACAACGCCATAGCTATACACATCACTCTTCTCATTCAGGAGACCGCTATTTGCATACTCAGGAGCTACATATCTGTTGTGAGAAAAAGATCCAAACACAAGGTGTGAGAAAAGAGAATTACGCGTATCCAAAATAGCTCTATAAAAGTACTTACCCAAAAGTGCCCATAACTCTGGTTGTAATGTGACTCTTCCCCGCACCCAGCAACTTGGCCAGGCCAAAATCAGAAATTTTTGCGTTGAAGTCATCATCTATCAATATGTTGCTTGACTTTATGTCGCGATGCACCACCTTGGGCTCAATTGCCTCGTGTAAATATGCAAGACTACAAGTATGAAAAGCATTAATAACAGGAACAAAAAAATGTGAGACAAGTAAATGCAAAGTTAAATAGGAGAAAACTCACGCTTTAGCGGTGCCAAGGAGAATCTTCATCCGGGCTTCCCATGTAAGGTACCCATGCTGTCGCATAGCTCCATGTAGCCATTGCTCTAAATTCCCATTGTTTACGTACTCATAAACCAATAACCTAAAATACAACAAGGATCACGATACAAAGTGACATCTGAAGTAAGTTCACTTTTCTGAAGTTGCAGAAAGCAGTTTCGTTATTTGTGGTCGGACTAACAATGCTGAAATTTATCTCCACTTATTAACACAAGATAAAAACATGTCTCTTAGCATCACAAAAAGAAGTTTACCAGAAGCCATTATCCTTTCAATTGGTACTAAAGAAGGTAAACTAAACTATTAAATGCGAAAATTTGCACATTTGCGAAAAGAGGTTGACAAATGAATATCATATCCAACATCAGCAGCAAGAGAGGATGGTGGAATATCAGTTTTTACTTTTCCATTGTATCACCTAAAAATCTTGTTTTCTCGTTTTTATTTCCTAAATCAGGAGATGAGGATTGAATCCCAAGTTTTCAACAGAAAAGGTGCAGTTACACTGCTAAACATTGTGGTAAGTTTTTGCACTGCCTATACGATGTAATGAAGAAAGACATACGAGACTCAGGAAACGAGTACCTGTGAGTTCCTTCAATACAGTAGCCCAAAAGTCTAACCAAATTTTTATGTCGCACATGACCAATAGCCTCAACTTCCACATGAAATTCTTTCTCTGCTTGTCCTCTAGAGATAAAATATCCCACATGTCAAATAATCTGTATAGGTGTAAGTGAGGAAACTAACTTTTTGAAGGAACAGTATAAGCATATCCAAACTTACAAATTATTCAGTAGCTTTTTAACAGCAACTTCAGTTCCGTTGATCAGCTGTCCCCGATAAACAATGCCATAACCACCCTCTCCAATTATATTTTCCTTAGAAAACTTGTTAGTCGCCGTTTCAAGGTCGCGCAGAGTAAACCAATGGCCCCAACCCAAGTGAGAGAATTCAGGTAGACCGGATAAAGGGGACGGGACATTCGTAGGATGTGAAGGATGATATACTGTTCCAGCAGCTCCATTTTCCCCTGACTCAAATGTTCCGTCTTTGTCTAAATAAGTAAATGAGTCTGATTGACTGGTAATGTCAAAATCTTTCATCTTGTCAATATTTGAATGAGCCAAAAGCTTATCTGAATCTTTCTCACTGTATGTGTCCTGATATGCAAGGGGATTCCTATAAAGGCCGCCGTATTTGCTTGCTGAATTTTGATCAACCCTTATTTCTTTAGACACATCAGGAATTTGGCTTATGGGTAGTGTATCATGAAACTTTCTGGATTTCTTACGAGAAAAACAAAACGGCAGCAGCAAAAGAATGATTACAATAAAAAGTCCTACAAAGATGGCTAATAAAACCCACACCTTTAGATGGAATATATGGGTTTTCTTAGACAGTTGGAAATTAAGATCAGATGCCATTCTTGGTGAACCTGCAAAATAGAAAATAAGAAAATCAAAAAAATAAAAAGGAAAAAAAAATACAGACAAGCAGCTCCAAAATGAACTAGCGATCATCTATCTTATTCTTATGTATCAATCGATCAATCAACAATGCCTTAATACCAAAAAAAAAAGTTGGGGTTGGCCATATGAATCCTCTATATCAAGTTTGCTCTATTCGGCCTATTTTAGTCAAATACTAATAAATAATTAGTCTTCTAAGGTAAATTGGCAATTTTCTGAAATTGGAGGTTCTCTAAATATCACGCTTATTCCTACACTAACAACCAGACTAATAGCGAAACCTATTTAAGTGTAACAACAATAATCAGTCTTTGATCACAACTAGTTGGCACTGCCTATCATGTAACTTATATATATTAAAGAATTTGTTCATTTAAAAATGGAAACTTTTACTATCTTAATGTATTCATAGATGCAAAATGGTTATTTCAATGGAAAGAAACCCCTCTAATTATCTGATAACTAGCAACTCGTATGATGTAGACGAGAACAACAACAGCAAGCCCAATAATTTCCCACAAGTGGGGAACTAGCAAATCATATGATGCAGACGAGAGGAGGCAAAAAACAGATCAACCATTCAATTATGTCTCAATTCCATATAAGTTGAAATCGGCTATACGAATCCTTCGTATACA